TCCTGCTCTTACCAACGCAAACGTGATTTGATGCTCCCCCCCTTAAACCTAAGTAAAAATAAGGGAAGTATTCCCTTGCTGACTCTGTCAGCATTTTGAGAAACTCAAAAAGAAACGTATGATAAGCACAAACTTTGAACTACTATTGGCAGCAACTAAAATACAACTTCCTCTGTTTTGTGGCAGATTGTTAGATAAATCATCCAGTTTAGTTGAAAATCTCATGCGTGAGAAAAGACCTTCATGCACCGCTCTCAAATTGGGCATGTAGAAGATGACAGAAGAATGAAAACACTTCAGAGCGAGTGTTCCATCTCTTTTACTTCAGATTAATTTGCCACACTTAGCTTGCAAACTGCCCCTATATAACTTCATGAAGATAAACACATGCCTGCGTATGCACTTACAAGGGTTTAGGATGATGGCACTACATCAAAAGAATCAACTAAGAAAGTGCCAGCACAGAACACTATCGTAAATTCAGCGTATTTAAACATGGGAAATACGCAGCATTATGTTAGGAATTCTTAAACAGAGCCATTATGCTATCTAATCCTAATAATAAATCTCTTCTACACAGGTCCCTCTACAATGCTTAACACCATGTACCAGAGGAATACTCAATCACCACCACTCCTCTCTGGCTTACTCCTGTGCAATGTTTTGAGTAGTTCTAGTGAGCAGTGCTATGAGAGGGACTGAACATACATATCAAAAGCTAAGGTTTGCCAAATGCTCCTACTTCTTTCAGGGTTTCACAGCCCCATGCTAGCCTGGGCATCGCTGCTTCAAAGTCTCCCCAGAGCAATGATACACTGCATCCCCAAAGGACCTTGAAAAGAAGAGCTGAAGGAACGAGTATAGGGGATGTCCACAGACACAGAGATACCAAACCAAGTGAATCTGTGTAATTAGTGACTTGGTCCTTCTCTGGAAAGTCAAAGCAATAATCAACAAATGTGGAATAGAAACTGTGCTCCAGCTATTTTAACAAAGCAATTCTGCTTTTTAAAATGCTTTGAGGCTGACATTGAATTTGATATTTAAAATGTTTCTCTTGCAGTTTGGGCAGGAGAGGTTGTTCTTGCTTTGTACCTTAATGCATGATTTTTAAGAATTATGAAAGCCAAATAAAATTGTGTTAAGGATCACAGGGCTAAAATAAAAATAAAAATACATGATTGTAATTATCCCCAGAGAAAGACTATAAAGTCAAGCAATTTTGAGTCAAAGTTATACCTAAAAGAATCCAAGGTGCACACAGGTTAAAGCACCCAGACATCCTTAATTTGCCACAGAGTAAAACAGTGGTGGAGGAAATATATTCAAAACTAATATATTAAAAATAATAAATTTAAGTCATATATACTTCAATTTTTCAATCAATCTTATGAGTTTTACATGGCATCTTTACTGATTATGGCTGTTTGGGTGTATATGTATTTGTTTTCTACTTGTCATCTTTAAATTTCTTTTAAGTGCAACTCTAAAACTGAATTTCCTGGGATATAATACTTCAATTTGGGATGATTACAGCAACCTTCTAACGGTTTTGCTCACCTAATGCCAGACTGGTACTTACTAAAAGTGACTTTAATGTCTCCCTAGCTTCTTCTCCCTGAGACCAGGTGTTATATCCCCCCCTCCAGTGTTTCTTGAAAGTAGCTACAAAAAGAAGTACTAATGAGACACTATGTAATAATTGCAGCGATCAAAGGCAGAAATGGGCAGTGCAGGAAGGGACTACATGTGATCTTCTTTTCAGAATCTTTTTGCATAATCAAAACAGTTTCCACTTACAACTTGAAAATAATTTTCTTCCTGGCAGGTCATATATACAAGCCTGAGAATAGAACTTACCCTGTGCGTGCAGAACAGCACACAAACTCAGCTGAATATGTTAATACAAGATTAAAAAAATATAGCCCAAGTAATACGCCTGAGATCACACAAACACAACTGCAGAACTAATCTCTTGTTTCTCACTATGGTACTCCAGTCACAAACCACTCTGGACTTTCTGTTGGAGCAAATGCACACAAACCAGGAAAAAATTTTCATCTTTTCACTTGCCTCTTTTCTTTTCTGAAGCAGCAGTTCCAATCTTTCATTAGCTCTTTTGCCAATCATTTTGTTTCTCTCAGCTTCATACTGCCTCTGTGTATTATCCTGATGAATGCTCAGGTTTAAGGCAACATTCACAAGTGCAGTCATAAGCTTCATAGCTGCAAAGGCAGAAGACAGAATATGACTCTTTACTCGTAGTCAGAGTTAAAAAAGATTTCCTCAGCAGATCCATACTCACAGAAAATAACAAACTCAACCCTGACACAAAGCCATTCGGAAAGGCACTTCCCACCCAAGCAATACCCAGGTCACTTGGCTCATCTAGAGATCAGAAAAGAGAGTATATACACCGCCTTGAGCTCCAGGCAATGTTCTTTGCCATCTTCTCCAGAAAATTATGCAAGTTCTGAGTGGATAAGGACAGTGAGCAAGCACGTGAATCTGCAGGATCAGTGTACACCATGAAGCCAGTTACTGCGGAGTTACATACATTTCTCTACTGAAAAGTATCATTATAGATGCGTCCATACTAAAGGTAACTCTTAACCTATAGCTTGTGAGGATTACTCAATTGACAAGGGACAGCAGCACAGTTTCTCTGAAAGTAAGTCTGACATTGCTCTAAAGGCAAGTGTATTGTTGTATAAAAATACAATTAGAACTTTACGTACCCCTTTATATGCATTTACACACATGCTGGATATAATATCGTTCCTGTCTATATTTCTGCATTAATCTATTTTTACATTATAAAAACATTATAATAAGGGTCTTTCCCATGTTCTGCGTGGTTACACGGCATATCATATTTTACAATACTGAAAAAACAGCAAAATAATGTAACAAACTATCACATCCTCTCTAGCTAAATATGCAGCATTGTCTTCAATGTAGAAAAGCAACCATACAAATGGAGAAGTGAAGCTACTCTTATGGTAACGGTGTCTTATCTTGCTATTGCTCAAAGCTGGTAACTCCAGAAGCACCCACATGTACTTCTTGCTACCATGAATCATTTCTCATTCAAATTGGCTAGCACAGAGGAAAACTGAAAACAAAGACGTCAAAAACACTCCTTCAAGAATAAATTAAATTCTAAAAGTAGATTTTCACAAAGTTTATCAAGACTGAGCTCCATGGCATCATGCTGACCTCTGCTCTGCAGGATAGCAACATAATTAAATGTGCAAAAACTAGCTTGAAGGAAATATGCAGCATCAAAACAAAGCTCTCAACTTTGTTAAAACAGACAAATAAATGGCATGTATTATCACTGGAAAATGCTGGAGATCTTCAGCAGCTCCTGTGCCTAACATAAGCACTAGGTACCTGTATATCTAATGCAAGAAGCCAGCGGTGGCTTAAATAACTGATGCTAGTTGTGATGAACCTTGTCTTTAGCATTTGCTTATCTGTGCTTGAAGTTTCTAGCTACATAATCCATTCCAAACAACGGCAACTACTTCTTCCACATAGCACAGGTCTTGTGTAACGTCTCTAGTATGGTGCTGTTTCCTATCTTTTCATTCAAGCCTTTTGCACTTTCCAAACATCCGTCCCACATAAGGATGAGCCAATCAATGCAAGAGACCAGAATGCACAGCTCACTCCATAATCTCTCTCCTATGAAACAACCAGCCACAATTCAAGCAAACAGCAAATCAAAATCACCTGGAATTGAAGATAGTAGCAGCTGGAAAGGAATACAGTTTCCATCTCAGTTTAAAAAACAGGCACAGACTTCCAGCAGGTTATCTGCAGCTCAAACAGTGTTCACCTTTGAATACTGAATTTGTAGAGGTAAACCGTAAAGCTGGAAACTTAGGGCTGCATAATTCATGTTTTTACCATCTCGTTACTGAGTAAGGTGAAAAATGCAAAGGGATAGGTTTCCAAAAGAGTTCAGTCACTGTGAGCTGAAGGTTTTGGTTTTCAATTTTAAAATCAAACTCCAATCAAATCCGGAGTTGGTTTTTCAGTATCACTGGAAACCTGCCTCTTACTTAGACTCATAGCAACAGATGAAATTTTAAACAAATTCTGACTGAATTTGTTGGACACTGGGTATTACACTTGGAAACCTGAACAAAATTGTAAGAGCCTGATTGTGGAAAGACTGACTCAGTAACAAATATTGGCAGCAGAAATATTCAGATTATGACAAATGTCCCCTACAAAGCCTTCAAATATTTGGCATGATCTATGAACAATCCAGGGAGGGGAAATTTCTGTCAAGATGTATTTCAGAAAAAAGCAGAAAAGCATCACCTGACATAACCAGCTTTAGACACCTACATCCAAGCCAGCCACCCTAGCATCGCTTTGTAATTGGAGAAAAAGTTATTTCCAGAGAGTAATTCATCCACCTTACAGAAGACATCTCATATAAGTCTGATGAAATACCCTCTAGAAAAGCCAATTTCTATCTAATGATATACCCAGTGCTTTCCTTAGACGTAGGCAGCTGTGTTGAAAGGTGCAGTGCGGCTGAAGGTAGAAGACAGTGAGACGTACAACTATGGCCCAGTGCTCCCAAATCTAACGCTTCTCAAGAGTGAAGGCATAGGTCTTATTTTTTGGTGGACTGAAATTCTTTGATAATACAATTTTCTTTACACTTATTTAGAATAAATTTGTAGTCTAAAATACAAAATTATGAGGACATTCTACACAAGAAATGAACAACTAATAACAAAATACAAGACATAAGCATGCCACTTTTGATTCACAGGATTCACTGGTGGCTCCTGGGTATGACAGGAATCTCTGAGACAAAGTGCCTCAGTATACTCCTTTCCAAACAAAACAGTGTATTTTAAGTATAGTTATACCATATATGGATTTGATAAAGCTTTCCAGAGTTCTCAGTGCTGGTCAAATTCCATCTCAATCAAAACTAGGAGTAATTCTCAAAGTGGCTAAATAGTAGCAGCTTTTTTGAAAAAAAACCTCTTCTCTGCCATAGCTTACTTACCAGCTAATGTACTGGTGTGCCTGAAAGCCCGGACCTGGGAATCTGACAAACCAGTCAGAAGAGAGATCACCGTGTCCATCATGTATTCATCATAAATGATGCTATACTGACATTGTCGAATGAGCACTCCAATGAACTCGCAGAAGTTGGATCGAAACTTCTTCCACTGTGGCCCAGGCATGGTAAGTGGATAATCACCACTGTCCTGAAGAACAAGAAAATGAAAATATGAAGTATTACAAGTGTCTCCACTTACTTTATTTTAATGTTGGTGTAGTCATTGTGATCTAAGTTTCTAAGCTAAATACTACCTTTTTCCTTCAAGCCAATTGAGAATAACAAATGAAACGAACACATTACCCTCCAATAAACAAAGCAGCTTGCTGGCATGAAACTGAAGTCTTTTACAAAGACTTCATTATAACTGTTTTAGACTTGCAATATTAGCTCTGTATAGTCCAAAATATGCATCAAGACTCAATTCTTTTCCTTGTGTCCTGGGATAGGAAGTGGGGGGGAAAGGCTGAGAAAGGAATCTTTCAAAGTATTTAAGGTCAAAAACCTAAAGAAAGGCTTGTGTGACTGAAGGTTTGTGTCATTCTCCATCCCCACTTCAACTCCATCTCAATGTTCTAATCAATTGGCTGCCCCTCCCCACAAACTTTGCTTTCCTCAAGTTTACAACTGAAATCTTGTCAGAAAGTAAACATTGCTCTTTTTTGATCTTATAAACTTACCCTTTTCCTAGTGGTAAAACTTGCCTTCTGATAGAAGTAATGGAAATTGTACTACAGATTCATATACTCCATACAGGTTCATACACCCCGTCTTCCAAAGATTACTCCAAGACTGGAGTAGGCACATGAACACTCAGTTCATTTAAGTTTAACTCCTCTCCAAGTCTGCTTTTACTATTCTCACTTCAAGCAATACTCCATTTCAGTGTGACTGCCCCTCCATAATTAGAAAATGCTTTTTTCCCCTTCAGTGAAAAAGACTGAATATAATCTCCCTGGTCACCTGATTTGTTAAGCCAATTCCACATTACCCAAAACATCAAGGCAATAATGCTCCATCCTGAATCTCTCCCCCAAGACAAGAAGTCAGCAGTATCAACGTTAAATCCATTCGTACATATTTATTCTGTGTTTTGGTGAAGAACAAGCACTTCCGTTCTCTCAGGACTTGTCTTATTGCCCAGATTGAACCACGTAAAGTCAGTAAGTGTAGAGAAGCTGTAATCAAATAACCTTTTACCTAAACTTCATAAACGGTATTCCCCTGCAGCAAAACCCCCTGTCTATCAAATTTAGCCAAATCACACACATTTCAATCATACTAAAATAACAATTACAATTGCAAAGACAAGCGCTCAAATGTTAGAAAAAGACAAAATTATAAGGCAGTCTTAATGACCTTACTGCCTCATTCACTGCAATGCTGAATGACATTATCTTAACGAGCAATTTTTTTACTTCTGACTTTGAATGTCCAATTTGAGAGAAATTGGAGCTTTGGTTTAAAAAAAACCCAAACAACTCAGAGGGTTGTAAAGCTCCTGGCATGAAGATATCTCCTAGCATGCTCAATTGTTGCTGCAAGTCCTCAGGACTCCTGTAAATCAGACCAAAGTGCTGTGTAGTAGAAACTCAGATAAACACAATCTAAACCAGGTAGCAGTACCATTAGGTGTGCCATGTCTGTTTGTGCCTAATGCTCTTGCTAGTGAATTCCAGCAAGGTACAGTGTCTTGCCATGTAAATACAAGACCTGCATTAGTCTAATATCTATTTAAATTTAGGACTCAAATGAAAATGCTAAAGCTTTCTCCTCAATGTTTTCCTGACAGTAACTCCACATGAACACCCCAGACTCCTCCTCTTCTCCCTGCTTACACCTTATTTTCACAAATAATCTACAGACTAAGCCCCTGCCGGCACAGTACCTGTGGGAACTCTGCATGTGAACTTACATACATAATACATGCTTTCTAGAGGTAAGTATATATAATTTTTTGGAACAGATCCTCAGAATCTCTAGTGCTGTGTGTAACTACTCACATTTGTATGATGTATTCAGAACATTCTCCTTCGTTCCCACACAGTCAGACCATTACCTTCTTATAGACAGACATGGGATTTAGGGGGGTGAGAGGACAGGAGGGCAAGGGAAATGTTCTGGTGGCAACAGCCCTAGGCAACTGCTTTGTCTCAGGATGACATGGGGGGATGGACAATGGGGTTTGGGAGTTCTGGGGTACTGGAAGAGGTATTACAGGTGAAATATCAACAGTGATATTTAGAATGAAGAATTGAAGGCTGTTGCCAGCTGTAGAGAAAATGGTAGTGCTTTACTGAGAAAACGGATGACCACTTGGCCCACCCACCACTGTTGGTCTCTTTCTGGCTCCCTTTCTTTCATTGCTTACTATAGACTTACAAAAAAATAAAGAAATCCAGTGGTAGGAGGGACTCAAGGAAGCAGGCTAGTTGGTCTGTACAGTGTCAGGGAACACAGCCAACGACACTGCTGAAAGAAGGTAAGAAGTAGACCTGCCTGGGTTCTCTTCTCCTTTGTCCAGCAAGAAAAGAAAGGTTGGGAAGGATCATGCAGATCTGCTGAATTTAGCTTGTGCTGTCTTTAGTCAAAGGCCTGTCACTGGCAAATGGTGTCTCCTACCAACAGCTCTCCCAGAAACAAATGATTGTTGTTCTGAATCTTTAAGTGGTGGACACTAAACAGAAGGCCAAAAAGTGTATTAATTCTATGCCAACTGCAATTGCAATTTTACAGTCTGCTGAAGACCAAGAAAGACTTTTTTTGTTTGTTTCATTATGTGTTGTACTTTGAACAGTAATGTAAGCTGCTTTTACTCTAAAAAACCTTGTATTTCAGCAGGTCTTTTTTGTGACTATGACATCCCGCTAGGCACAGACCAATCTGAAATACTATGACCAACAGTATGAACATAGGTCACAATCTATAATATGAAATAGGTCATATAACAATTATAAACCTACTATGGTGGGATCATCTGATATATGAACATGAGTAGAAAACAGCACTAAATTCTAAAATGTCTTCCACTGCTAACAGGGTATGAGTTTATTCCAGATTTCAAAATATTCACTGGGGTGTGGTCTAAGACTAATAATTTCATGCTTTTGTACTACCACAAATTTCACAAATCCATTCAAGCATTAAGGTAGCAGCTAGAACGGAAACTTTGTTAGAAATGTAAAAGTTCTGAAAAGTTTTAGGCAACAGAGAAAGAAAGTTTACGTGCTAGTAATGCTAATTCTTTGAGATGTGTTGCTTATATGTACATTCATACTGTGCCTAAGGAAGAGAGTTTTTCCTCCTTTGAGAAAAAACATTGATAGTTTTTGAAAACTCTTTTTTTTGAGAAATACTTTCTTCCATCAACTGTGGAACAATCTTCCCTCGGGCAAAATCCATGTTCTTTAGCTTTTGGACAGTGCCTTGGCCATTCTATTTTGTACAATGGGGCTAGATGAAAGATAGTATCTAATTCTGCTTTTAAATTACAGTAGTAAAAATTCACTGCATTTTATTAACTTCGGTTGGGTGATGTTTTAAAAAGTAAAACTACTTCAGCCAGAATGTAGCATGAATTGACATAATCCTTTTGTTCATCATCATACACCTAAATTTTAGTCATTGTACCCTATCCCACCGGTACACAAAGGCCCTGACTGAATACCTGAGTACAGCAAAAGGACCATGCACATGGCCGTAGTTAAGTACATAGTTAAACATTTTGTTGTTCAAGGCCGTGAACAACATGGATATCTTGCAGAAGTAAATCCTGAAAAAGATCAGTGCTCGTATTTATAGTTTTCCTGCTTAACTTTTTGAATCACTGCCTTGGCATTCCATTTAGAATTGGTGGGAAAAGGACATTGCTCTCCTATGGAAAATTCATGTTTCAGCATTTGTTTTCCTCACTAAACAAAATGAACACTCAGAATATTTTATTTTTTTTATAGATGAAAAACCAAAGAAAATACAGTTCAAGAATCTCAACGCTAGAAAGCATTCACGACTAGGAACATTTTTACTTTGTCAGAAGATACCAATTCGAATCGTAATACTTGTTTCAAACAAAATGCTTAGATCTTTTGAAGAATATTTCTTTCTGTAACACTGTTCCAAAACGGTAATTTTCACGTCAAATTACTATTTGGTTTAAATCACCATTCAAATGAACAAAACATTAATTTGCACACAGAAAACAGAGCAGAATGCTGCAAAAGCCTGCAGCCCTGTCTCAGGAATCTGGACTTCTTTGTCATATGACAGCAGCTCCAGAGGTGAACTTCAGAACCCAGAATACCACCACCGACTTCAGTGAGATGAGAAAACTTTCTACAGTTCTGCTTACTGCCTCTTCTTATTAACTTCTCTAATACCCAGGATGCAGACAGACAAGGATAACCCTAAAGCCATATAAAGATACATGAGGGTCTACACGGACCCAGACCAGGACTAACATGAACCCAACCTAGTTCTTGCAGAGTCAGACCTGGCTAGGCGCTCTTACACCACCGGATGCGAGCTTGCTCCATGCTGTTGTGTAATGGTACACTTCTGCCCTTAAACTGGCTAATTCACAAACTTTTCAGTACCAGTATTTCAGCATCCAGGGCCTACTCAATCCACAACACTGACTTCTCAAAATGAGTGACTTAGAACTACCTTTACAAATTATTTTATTACTTTCTGTGTTTCCATTACTATTTTTTCCTAAAGCTCATGCTGGCTTTTTATTCCTCATCCAATAGTTCAAATCGCTGCTTTGCTTGTCAATGCAATTTCTCCTACTGAGACATTGCTCAGCCACTGGTTTCTTGTCCATTGCATTTCTATTTTTAAACAAAAGTGGATTGTAATATATCTCATAACGTTTAAAGAACTATTTGTATACTATACCTCATCAAATTCTTCTGTCATTTTCCTTATGATTTCTGCATTTTGCATGTTCCTGAACATTTCAATTCTTACAGTACCTGTAATGCAATGAAGGAACAAAAGAAATTAACACAACCCATTTTTCGTTATGTCAAAATATAAATGTTTTTCTGCTGCTAAACTTACAGGTCAATAATACATATGAAAGTATATAATGCAATAATAACAGGAACATATTGAACAAGACTGTCTCTTGAAGAAGTGGGTAAAAAAAAAATATAAATCGGTCCTGTAATGTGCTATCAGACTAGGAGTTAGTAAAATTTTCCATCTTTTTACTCCTTACAACTGAGCAAGTATGATACAGAAGTGATAGCAATGTAGGACTCATGCCATGTCTGCAGCTGCCAAGTAGTTTTAATTTTGTGTGCAAAATAAAACAAAGACCATTTTTCAGTTCCACAGCCACTACTAGTAATTCTCCGCTTTTTATGATGAGTCACCTGGATTACAGATAAACCATGATGTCTATGCAGAGACACAGGAGCAGTTTTCAAACTGCTTAGCTCAGGACCAGCACAGCTTATTGACTTAGGCACAGCACTGTGGGAACTGCGCGACCGCACCTGCCGGCCAGAGTTAGCACAATTGCATCACGTAGTGTTACTGTCAGCAAGTTTTTACCAAAACCAAAACCTCCAAAGGGCTCAGTGAAGATGTCAACCAGCTCAGGACCCAAAGCACCGCTTGTATCTATGTTATTTCTTCATTTGGATTATGCCATTCCCCCTTGTTACCCAAACAGCAAAGTTGATAGGATTGACTTTTCTTTGTAAATTGAACAAAGCTACCAAAATTGAAAATATAACAGCACAATAGCAGTAAGTGAAAATTCTTGTAACTCGATCCTAATTCAATCAGCATAAATGAATAAAATATTTTTATACATTATTGCCTTTGCAACTAGACGTCTAAATATCCAACCATATAACACAAGTCATTAACTCGATCCTAATTCAATCAGCATAGATGAATAAAATATTTTTATGCATTACTGCCTTTGCAACTAGACATCTAAATATCCAACCATATAACACAAGTCAATACAGAGAACTTTTTTTTGCTACTGCATGATCTTCTTTTTGCCACTTCACAATCTTCTTTTGTTAATGGAGGAAACACAGAAAAATTAAGCAAACCGCAGAGCTACAAAATCCATCCCAACATCATTAACATTACAAAGAGTAAGTCTCCCTGCTTTTGCAAAAAGTTCAACTGGATTAATGATCCACTGCATGGCTCCAAAAATTCAAACCATAATAGAAGCAGCTTAACGGCAAATACTATTAGTCCCTGTACAAAGGATAAAGAAAGATGATTTTAAATATACTAAATATTATCAGAATGTTTTAATTCTGATATTTTACTCCTTGAAAAACAAGCATTAGAAACATATGCATTTCAGAATATGCAAGCACGGTTACAGCATGCCAATCCTCTGTGTCTTAGTAGGGGTACTGTTTCACAACACAACTTAAATATTGATTTCTTGAATTGGTTTTGCTTCTTCAGGAAATAACGTTTACTTGTTATCTATTTCATACTGAATAACACTGTCAACTTCAGTTCTAATAATGGCAAGTTAAGTTTGTGCATGGTTATTTCCATATTATTAATAAACAATTAGTAATGCAATATATTAATATAAAACCAGAAACCCAAGAGAATACTACCATAGGACAGTTGAAGACCTGTTTTATCAGCTCTGAAATCATCTGTACACACAGTTGTATTTTAATGTTTCCCCCAGTATTGAAAGTTTTATTTCGATTAAGTGAAACAGCTTCACAGTATGTCTCAGAGTACGGAATAGTGGACAGCTATTCTTAGAGATCCACCTCAACTGCATTAATACCTCTTCCTCTCACTGCATGCTGTCATCTGTTGCTCTTCTCATTGGTGATATAACCTTCATGGAAGAAGTAACCTATTCACATTCGTTATTTTATTTTTTATAGCCTCAATTCTAATTTTATTCTTCTCTATTTATGGTTTCTGTTAATAACCTTAAATAGTTTCCACAGAATACATAATCACGTTACTTTGTCAGAAAAAGTAAAAATATCAGAACTAAAATTCCTTGTTAATGCACTTTACTCAATTCAAATCTCCCTTCAACTTCAGATAATTCTGTTGCGGTTTTCTGTATCTTTTCTCCCTGAGGATACAGAATGCAATTATACTGTGGTCCCTCTTACTTAGTGGCTCAGATACTGTTACTTCTTAAATGATGTCCTGCATGTTACACCTCACAGTCAAGTATAGTTTTTCCTTGAACAACTTGTCTCAAGGAATCTGTTGCAGGAGTCGACTGCTTAAAGCACTGCTGCTTTAATTCTACAACTTTGCAGATGCAGTAACAGTGCTCAAAGAAAGCTGATGGCTCATCCTGGATGCATGAATCCTCCATGTTACTATCAGATGACAAATTGTACTCACTGTGCTGCAGACACCTGGAACCTGCCCACTAAATTGGCCAAGAGGAGAGGCTGCAAACACAGAACTACAGACCTCAGGCAGTTTCTCTTGATTCATGGAAAGGCTTTTTACCTTCCACAACTAGAACTGAGATAGCATCATCCATCTCCCAGGCACTTTCGGATTTCTACTGATTGCTGTGCAGAGGTGTTACAGACCAGTCTGGTGTAGGTTCTACACACATCTTCCAAACAAGGAATGGTTCAGTTCTTCGGGACCATGAGGTAGGGGCATGCAGAGGATGAGACAAACTCTTGATGCCTCCAAGGGATGCCAGGGTGGACAAGAGCTCAGCATTGCCAAGTAAGTGTCAGCAAGCGTTGAGAGGAGTGAAGATGAACAGCACTTATCAGCTCACTGTCATGCCTCAGTCTTTCCTCCACTTTTCATGACAAAGTTTACTGGAAGTCATGTCAAGCAAAATGAGCATTTCTACTTACTGGCAGTAGGTAACAGCTTTGGCCTGACTGCTTTTCCTACCACTACCTTTCCCCCACTGGACCAAAACACAATCCTGTCTGTTTTTCTGGGAAACTGATGTAACACTGTAAATAGGCTATGAAGACTGCTCACAACATATTTCATGGTGTCATCACAACATTTCAACACTGCAATGGTCAACACTGTGCAAACTCATAGTTTTTATGACTAGTGAAAAGCTACACTCTCCTGTTTTAAAGTGAATCCTTAAAATATAACAGCTTTTCTATAAAATACAATTGAAGGTGTGAAATGCATTCCTACAGTCTCTGCCTTGCTCATGTTGCTACTAGTCTTCTATCCTTTTCTAAACTGAGTTTTACCTCTATCATGACGCTCTCACTCTGTATTTAGCGAAGAGGATCTAAATTGTCTTAGTCCATTAACAAATTGAGAAGCCTATTCTACTTCAGTACTAAGTTCTCAGTTCAAACTTATTCACACAAATTGTGTTTCAAAAAGTCTGGTTGCTGACATGTAAGTGTATTTCCTTAATGGCAAATTTCCAGGAGCTATGCCACAGACTCAGTGGCTTCAAAATATAGATTTATAATGAGAAGACTAACCAGTTATAATAGTAAGTCCTGCAAAAGAAATGTAACAACACAAATCTCCAAGAGCTTTGCAAGATGTGTAAGCTCTCAAGTTTGAGCACCAACCAACCTTTAACAGAGGGAGCTAAAGAGGCTACTCCTTGGATGCAGGTTGTCCCATGACTACCTTTCCTCCACAGGTACTAACCACTGCTGGAAGTCAGGGAACACCATGACACCAAATCCTACACTCCAATAGCCTCCTGCGTATGCCAATTCTGGTATTTCTATAGGAAAGGGAAGCTTAGATGACAGAAACAAGCCACTGCATAAGCAGTACTCCACCTATAACAGCCCACAGTCATTGAAACATTACTAATGAAAACAAATTACTTACTAGTAAAGGAACTCTTGAAATCTAAACTACCGACAGTTGGTAATAATTTGCATACTATGTAGTATACTAACTATACTATATAGTCAGTTTTAATCTCTGGTACCTTTATTCACAGAAGCTACACAGCCACTTCTATCCCTTCTCTTTTGGACTACCTGCCCAAACCGAGTAAGCTACAAGAAAAGTGGTGGGAAAACTGCAGCTCAAGACTAAAGTCAATGGATATAAAGTAAGCCCACGGTCTCCTGCCAAAGAAGGATTAATTGTGGGACCTTAAATTCATGGTGATTGATTAGTATCTCTCAACCACACAAACTGGAAAAACAGCAACCAGAAGAAAGATTTATAAAGGCATCAAGATGAAGACATTAGAAGGTTTGCACTGGAAAGTATCATATGAAAAAGGCAATGTACTCTTTTGCATTAGCTGAAAGTCGATAGTTGGGATCAGAGCACTGGGAAGTAATCCTGACTTGAAATTGTCAAGAGAGGGCAAGTTTAATAAAGATCTTGCAAGGATGGATGATGATTACAGAATTGCTGGATGGGCAATATTTCTTTCTCTCGATATCATTCAGCGAGCATTTCCTATACCTTTCTCCCCACTTACCATTTGGACTATAAGAAATAATCCACTTGTACAACGTCTGTAAGTGGAGTTTTTAATCGTCTCAGAAGTGTTAATGACAAATCTCCGTATGAAAGATGATAAACAAAGACTGAAGTCAAACCATAAAGAGCACATTATTTCTCACCGCTCAGCTTGGGTCATGGTATACTTCTGTAACACTTCATTTACTGTTCCCAGAAGATAGCTGCTTGGAACTAATCAGAAATCATTCACACCAGTAAAAAAAGTTTATTTTCTGTGGCTTGCTTACAATCACATAGGAACATTGAAGTAGATCTTACCTCACTGGAATCAATAGGCATTAATCATTAATCTAAATGGAAGCAGTATTGGGACAGCTGAAGCACATCCAAATAGATGCTGAAACTCCAAAATCCCATCAGGGCTCCTAACTTTCTATTGATTTCTGTGCTTGAAAACTGAAACACTTTACTGAAACCAGAAGTCAGGATTCTAGAAAGAAGTTAGCCTAAATACTTAGCTGAATTTCAGCTTTTGAGGCACATGCAGGAATAGGAC